GTTAATGACACTTAACACTGAAGTTAGTTGTCATATGCTAATTTAGTTGAATTTCTTTCAAAAGAATGCATAGAATGCATTTTTCTTGACATAATTTTTGTTTTGTTATTTTTAAAAAATATTTTCGTAACTAGTTTTTTAAATTTTAACAAAATTATTTTATTTTGGTTTCTCATATATATATATTTGTATATATTCTCAACACACTCACCTTAACGTAAGCACGCCTTTTATTTGTATATATATTTCATAAAACTTCAATTTAAAACTTATTTCACTCATAAAAAAAAATTTTTTTAAAAATTCATAAATTAAATAAAATTGTATAAATATATGCCACCATTTAACAATAATATAAAAATATATATAAAACAAAAATTTTGACAAATGAACAAAAATCCACTTGTTCTAACACAAAATAAGTAGACTCAGGCTCTGTCACTAGTCACACATTGACACAGTCTGCACGTGATTTAGTGCAGTAAATTTAATAGTGTCCTTTTCTCTTGAGCTCCCAAAATTCAACTATCACCCAGTGAACTACTTTAAACGCATTAAACTAAACGCATGAGAAGCTTTTTTCATTCTGTTGATTTTTCTACATTACTATATATGTTTTTGTTTTTGTTTTTGTTTTTATTTTTATTTGTAATTTTTTAACTTGCTACTTCTTATTGAAACCGCTTGGCAGGCTGTGAATGATGAGCACAATTACACATACAACTACAATAGTTAATGAACAACGGCTACAAGAATGAAAACAAAAACAACAAATCGGAAGGCAGTAGCCGAGTACACGAATTTGCTCACAATTTCTCCAAAATATGAGCAAAGCTTTTGTGTTTCACTTGTTCATACGTTTTGTTATTGTTTTAGTTTAGCTTCAGTTAATGTTGTTGTTAGGCCAAAATTTGAGACTGTTATTCTTGTTATATTTAATGTAACAATAACAACAACAACAGCAACAACAACGAGTTGTAATATTCAGTCATTCTATAGTGCAATTATTCATACGTTCACTCAAATTTAAATTCTCTAAGCTATTCACATACATAATGAACATATGTATGATATGAATGATGACAAAATCAAAATAAAATTTCTAATTTATACGAGGCATACTCCGTAAGATTTAATTATTGTATAAATTAAATTAATAATAATACAAAATACTTTGTTATATTTACATATATATCATTAATCAATTATATTAATAACATTAACAGGTATAACGATATATAATTTACTATTTAGGCCGTGTGCGAGTTCGAGTAAATTGAGGTAAAGTTGAAGTAAATTAAAACTTCCAAGGGATTTTTTGCACAGCATTTATGAAAATATTTATTTATTTATTTATTGCACTTATTTATTATTTTTGGTTAATAGTTTTTAAATTTATTTATTTATTTATTAAACATCTTATAAAATTTTCACAATGGTAATATCTAATTTACCTAATTATTATCTATTTTATCCTATTCGAAATTCTGGTAAATACCAACATTCACTGCCATACCGACATAATTTACTATTTCCCTCATGGCCTTAAAATTTTTCATAAACTTAATTGATAGTAAAAATGTGTAATATTTACATTATTCACCATATTCATTATTCATCAATTAATTTTAACAATTAACGTGGTATACTGCGTAATATCTTTAATAAAATGAATTAATAATAAAATTTTAAAAAGTTTTTATAAAGAGATTTTTCGAACAGTAGTGAACTACAATAACAAAAATTCATTTTATATTATTTTAATTAATTGAATTTTTGGTTGACCATACAGCTGTTTCGAGTATTGCCAAATACCCATCATCAGTGGTCTTGAAAATAATACTTGTATTTAATTATTCGTAAATAATTGTGTGAGACTGCAAGTACCGAGGGTTGTAATTGTGCCCTGTCAAATTTGAAGCTCAGAGTCAGCGTTCCTTAACCAACTGACCCAAAGCCGTACTTGACTTTTATGTTGGCACATTTTTCTGGAGTTTTGTTAATTTGTTGTGAAAATTTTATTAACAAATTCACTTAATGAAATCATAAAACAGCTGTAGAATAATTCAATTAATTAATCATATTTTTATTTTTAATTGTTAAATTTCAATACTATTCAGTTTGTAGAGGCATTATAAAATATTTAAAAACATTAATCAGCTGAGTTCAATAACGAGACATGTTACTTCAGTTTTTAAACAAATTCACAGTTAAGAACAAAAATTTGAAATGATATTGCTAATATTTATAAAATTAATTAACCAATTAGGTTCTACAATTTTCTTAAAAAAATATTTAACAGTACGTTTTTAAACAAATTCAGTTAAGAACAAAAATTTATAATTACTATTACTAATATATATACAATTTAACAATCAATTAGTTTCAACAATTTTCTTAAAAGAATATTTAAAAATATTTTTTTTTGAGTAAAATTTAATCGAACTAACACAAAAGAACCAAAAACTATTGTAAATCATATAAAATTTATACTTAAAAAAATTAACTATTATGAAAAGATTACAAGATTACAAATATCATTAGTAACTAAAACATTAACAATATCAAATGATATTATTCATCAACGTCATCATCAGCAGAGCATCACATTTCAAAAAAAAAAAAACATTTTCTTTTTTACTAAATGCCTATATATCGCAAGATATATATATACCCTGCTCTGAGATAGAGGTCCAAAAAAAATTTTTGAAACGTCTACAATATTTATTAAAAAAATCCTGCATTAGCAAAATCTTTACAATTGCTTAGTATCTAAATAGAAGATTTCAATTATTTCGAAAAAGTCATGTTGGGGAAGTTTGTTCCAATAAGTACGACATTTTCATAATTTAAACACCACGTTTAGTGGTTATTGAACGATCTATGTCGTAAATTGCAAACCTTAAAGTAAACACATTATACATTGGATGATTGATATGTTTGACATATAACTTAGAAACTGAGCTCCCAAATTAGAAATAGCCTTTATATTCTATACATCTTGTCGTTTACCCAATTGTGTATCTAAGCTTCATTTAATTTTAATTCCAATGATTTAAACTTTGCGTAACAATTTTTAGAAACCCCTTACAGAACAAGAGAATTGCGTCTGCTCACCTAATTTTGTATATTTGTAAATTCATTCCAGTTTTTGGATGATTGATAGAAGGACTTTGCTTTTGTTCGAAGACTATTAATTATTTACTAAATTAAAAAATTACTTTGTTTTTTTTTAATTATAATAAAATATTCAGAAAAAGTAATATTAGAAATTCCACAAAAATACATTATATATAACAACATACAACCAATACATTTGGAGTTGTACAGCCTAAACCTAGTTCTATACAACCAGAGTAAATCAATTAAATGAATTAATTAAATAAAATCAATAAATAAATATAATAGAAAATATAATTTAATATATATTTAATATGATATAATTTAATACAAAATTATCTGTACTTTGACAGCGTTATACTCGATGTATTTTGATGGATATCAGTATATGTGATGTATTGTCACATATGTGTTCCTTAGAAGGCATTGTTTTTTTTTACTTTTTGAATTTCAACACATTTTTATTTCATATCGAATTTTTCATAATTTTTTTGGGGAGACAAAGATTGAGAAGCGGTGACTCTAGGCGAATAAAACGAACACAATATGGATGTGCTTAAGCAGATACTAGAACAAATGTATTTACCATTTCCAAATTAAACAAATAGATTAGACATATAGACATATGACTGCATTAAAATTTATTGATTAACTTTCTAGTTTTTTGTTTTAAACATAAATCCATAATATATTATTTAACACAGGAAATTAAAAAGTGTTGCAAAGAGTTATTATTATTTGAACGCCCATAGAGTTTCTATCTTTTAGCAATAAATACAAATATCTATTACCATTCAGAAAGTCTTACTTGTCAAAAAATATTTCAACAATAAAATTTTGGAACTTCCAATTCATTTGTAAATACCTTTTCAATTGTAAGTTGGATTCAATGGAACATGACAGGAATAAAATATTAAAATTTCTAATTCCTAAATTAATACTTTATCGGCTGCCTGTAGGAATTAATGATTTTAAGACTAGTCCACAACAGTATATTGGAGCTAATAATTTTTATTTAAGCATTTCATCAGTTTCAATTAGAAAATTTTTTCAAAACTACATCAGTAACAAAATATTGGAGCTTTCCATTCCTAAACAAATACTTCATGTGGAATTCAAGAAGAAAACTTTAACAGATATAGCAAGACTTAATAAACAATATAAATTTAAACAATATTCACATGTATACTATACTATACTTACAAAAATATAATACATTAACATTAGTCATATTATATACGAGTATTTAGGGCGTTTTATATATGCATATATATTCTCACAATTTTTGTATGGAGGTTACTGCTCATAACTTTATGAGCTATTATTATCATATAGAAAAAAATATTGGACGATATTACTTATAGAAATATTAACAATTTTTAAATATTGAAATATTCTTCACAGTGAAATACAAATTATATGTTTATAATAAGGCCACTCTCCCTATTTTCTCATTAAATATACACCAATAAGTTATTCTTATAAAATTTATAGAAATAAATGTTAAGAATGTTCTATTAATTTAAGTGTAAACATATAATTATAACTTAAAACTGAACCACTCACACATACCATTTTCGTGAAACTTAAAAGTTGCTTAAAGTCTCTTAAAATCTGCTTTAAGCTCATATAATCATACCTAAAATTAATTTTTAAGATTGTGTGCTAGATGTTAACTGATAGTAATATTAATAGTATTTTTGATTTGTGTGTGTGACTGCTTTTAACATAATTTCAAAAAACTCGTAAACAATAATGTGGCTTTATTTAGTGGAATGTAAATTAAATGACGCTAATAACAATAAATTACATGACGAAATAAAATACAACATTGCAAACATCAGCTGTTGAGAAATACGTTAATATCTGAGTAATCGACTTAGTAACGAATAGTCGAATGTCAATCACGAGCACCGCACTGGACTACATTATTCCAGGTTAGAGTCATTTTATATAAAAAATGTTAACAATTGTGCGTGGAGTATCGAATATACTTACAAAAATTGCCTTTTCCACTCCAAGGACTGCTGCTTCATATCATACAACATGTAAATTACCTTGTGCACATACAGAACAGTCAACTGCTGACACTAATGAAGCCGATTCTGAGGAGCTTTCAGCTGCTCAACAAAAACTAATTAAAAACGATCGTTCGAAAGCGATACCAGTGGAAACATCAATACGTTATTTAAACAGTGAAGCATATAAAACTACATACGGCACACGGTTCGTATGGGAGGAATACAGGTAAAGCGCACTAACACATTTTATTTACATAACAAGAATTAAGCTGTATTTTTCACAGACGTAATCATAAAGGTCTCTTTGCTCCAAAGAAAACGCGAAAAACTTGCATACGTCAAGGTGCAATATCCACGGGAAACCCTTGTCCTATTTGCAGAGATGAATATCTAATACTAGATCATCGTAATTTAGAACTAATAAAACAATTTATTTCGCCACATACCGGCGAAGTGCTCAGCTATTCAAAAACTGGATTGTGCCAGAAAAAACATTTAGAATTGTTGGTTGCATTTGAAAGAGCAAAGGACTACGGCTTAATTGCTTTCGATGTACCTTTCCGCGAGTACGACTACAGTGAATATTACAGCAAACAATAAATAAATATCAACGTTAATTGAAATTTGTGTATAATTAAGTTAAAGTTAAGTACAATAAGTTGCAGTAAGTAATGGAAGAGCACGCAGTTACATTTCTGGTTGTTGGTGGTGGTATTGCTGGTGTCACCTGTGCAGAAACATTAGCTATTTGTTGTCCAGAAGAAAAAACTTTACTATTAACCGAATCAAACGTTATTAAGACTGTCGCAAATTTGGAACCAGTTGCACGTTATCTTCATAAATTCGATATATTGGAGCGTCAGGCATCTGAAAACGGGGAGCATATTTTAGCACCATGCGTTGTCACATTCGTAGATCAACTACAACATATAGATTCGGTTACAAAACGGGTGCTCACACGTGGTAATCGCAGTATAAAATATAAATATCTTTGCCTATGCACTGGAGGTCGTCCACATTTAATTATGAAAGACAATCCCCGTGTTATAGGTATACGAGACACAGATTCAGTATTAGAATTGCAACGTCAACTAGTGGATGCGAAAACCATTGTTATTGTTGGAAATGGTGGCATAGCTAGCGAGTTGGCGAGCGAACTAGATGGTGTCACTGTACATTGGGTGATTAAAGATGAACATATATCATCCACTTTTGTCGATCCGGGTGCAGCACATTTTTTTCAACAAAAAGGACAAGATTCAGCAACAGGAGATGAAAATAAAGATAAACCAACTAGTGTAGTTAAACGTTTGCGTTATGGAGAAATGCAACCACAAAAAGAAATCACATGCAAAATTGGCGCAGCATTAGGACCAGATTGGCATCGAAATTTTCAATTAAAAGGCGGATTAAAAACTCCAGCTGATTCGCCAATTATTCACTATAAAACGCAAGTGAAAAAAATTTCAAATGAAGAAGAAAGTCTCTTGGTAGAACTTAGCGAAGGTGAAAGCATCCATTGCGATTTTGTTATCTCAGCTACTGGTGTAGATCCAAGACATGATTTTACTTGCGATCAGCAACTAACTTTTGCCCACGATGGTGGCATAAATGTTAACGCAATGATGGAAACAAATTTGCCTGATATTTATGCTGCTGGTGATGCGTGTACTGCTGGTTGGGAGATTGCAGCACATTGGTTTCAAATGCGTTTATGGACACAAGCTAGACAAATGGGTGCAATGGCTGGACGAAGCATGGCAGCAGCATATCAACAAGAAAAAATTTATCAAGATTTCTGCTTCGAACTTTTCGGTCACGTCACACAACTTTTCGGTTATCAAGTAGTGCTATTAGGTCTTTATAATGGTCAAGGACTAAATAACGACTATGAAATACTGTTACGCACCACTCCAGGCAAAGAATACATTAAATTTGTACTACAAAATGGCAAGCTCCGCGGCGCTATACTTATCGGTAATAGCGAATTAGCTGAAACCTGTGAGAATCTTATATTAAACGGCATTGATTTAACACCATTCGGTGATGACATACTAAATCCAGATATTGACATTGAAGATTATTTTGATTAAAATTCTTAACTAGTTACTTATATGTGCTATAAAAATAAAATATTTTTTACATATTGCTAATATCAAGAAAAAAGTTTTAAAAAATATTTTAATAAGTATTGAAAATATATCTAACCGCTTAATGTTTATATTAAATGTTATAATATTCTGAGATCTGAATCAGCTTGTAAAATCTCTTTGGGGGGTGGTGAACGGCACTTGATCGTCCGTTGCATAGAACCGGCCATTCTTAGAAACCTGCTTAATTTGATACTTTCATGCACTGCTTTTGGTTAATCTACAATTAAAGCAAAAATTTGAGACTTTTCATTTTGCAACTTCCAACTTTTTCAAAAAAAAAAAGCATTTTAATAAACTTAATGAAGGCATCTACTCGTAAGATATTTGAAATCCGTTACTTCTGTAGCTAAAAATGGATTATTTTAAGAACGGCCGGGTCTACGTTCCGGTTCCACTCGTCGCCAGCAATGACTAAGTGCCATTCGACACCTTTCAAAAGGACTTCACTAGCAGGTCTTAGCGGGTTACGACAACAACAATATTAATTAATAAGCAATATAACCTACAATGCAGTTAATAGCCCCTGTCAGTAAATATGAGTTAAGCTAATAAAAGTAATAAATCAGGTTGTGAGAATAGCATGCACAAACATATAACTTAACGGCGATAAGTTAAGTTAAGGCGATAGTATTTACATAAGATGAATGCATATTTAATAGTATAAAAAAGAAGAATATATTGAAATTAGCGATAAAAGATATGAGTTGATGTGAAGAATAATTACATGTAATAAAAGAATCATGATTGTCATCAACTAGTTTTTATGACAAAAAAAACATCTTTCTTAACTAAGAACTAAGTTTTTACATATTTCTAGGTATATTTTTTTTTTAATTCCAAATTGAAGTTCTTCATTTAGACTAGTATTGTATTATACATACCATCAATTCTTAGTTTGAAGTAGTCCCTATTCTCACGCTAGATTGTTTAGGTATTTAAAAAACAAAGTGCAAGAAGTCAACACAAAATTTCATGAAAAGTATGGAAGAATAGGTATTTTCGGGTGTTTTAACCTAAATTTAAAATGAGATTAGATTAAAAACCGTCCTAACTTTTATCAAAAAAGTCAAATCTTCTCATTTTAATAAAAAGCGTTGATCCCCTCTTACACTAAGGATTTTAATTAGTGTTAGAGATTTTAATTTAATCTAGTCGAAGTTATATGCCAATTTAATATCGGCATATAACCGCACTCGAACATTGAGCTCTAGGATAGCAAGCCGCTCAATAAAATGCGAACATGGTATGGTTTTCGATCATTCTATAAGTACTCCATCGTAATCTTTACTTTCATTTGATTTATACTCGGACATGCCAAACTGCCCTGTAAAGCATTAAGAGTTACGAACATCTGAGGTACTCGACCCAATTTTCATATACGAGTAAGATCGAACTAACTTAGTATCGTAATTGTTGCTTTTATTTCTACATTTTGTACTGTTCTTAGTATTTAATTAATTTTCGTATAATTGAAATTTCTTTTACATACATATTACTTATGTATTTATTTAAAAATATTATCTAAAAACAGAAATGCAAATATATAAATATTTTATTTCAAAACTAAACTTTCTTTATTATTTATCTCATATATTCATTATTTTAACTTCGCATCAGCGCCGACATATTTAATTTCATCAAAGGCTTTTCTCGCTTTCTTAAGTTCTTCGTTCATTGTTAAAAGATCCTTGACACGAGCATATTTACGCGAATCTTTACGAACTAAAAATATTATGTCCTCTACCTGTACTCTTCCAGTGCGTCCGATTTCCATTGCACGATGCGTTGTTTCAGTTATAAATTCTATTACCAAATCTTCCAATAAATCTACGCTTTCAGTGTATGGGTTTTTATCATCTCCAAACCCATACATCATGCAGCGCAGTTCTTTACTAAAAAGTCGCTTACGACCGGCGCTTGTTGCCACAAATTGTTCCTCACCCAATTCGTCCTCATCAAACTGAATGCAAAAAATTTTTAAATGCAATTTATTAATTCGCCAAAACTACTTACATCTGCTTGTTCAAAATTTTCTTCCGTTGTCGTGTTCGCAGCCATTTCTAACACCAACTTTACAGTTTTGTTATTTTTGCATTTTGATAAACATAAAATATAAATAGGTTCAGTGTTGCCATTAAAAAATATTTTACTAATCTACTACTATTTGCAAGTATTCATCATCAAACTACCCGAAAGGTATTAGTAACTTTACACTGTCGCATTTATGCCGTGAGTAGTATGTGGCAATTTAAAGCATTTTTTATGCAAATATGTGCGAGACAAATTTGTTCAAACTTTTTAATAGCTTTTTTTAAAAACTGCTTTTTCAAAAAATTACCTGTAAGGTGCATGTTGTTTGTTTTAGTGACCCATGCCACACTTCATACTGCCTCATTTAGGCAATTTTACTCATTATAGCCACTAATGAGATTGATTTACCACAAAGGGCTTTCGTATAAATGAGCTCATTTTTAATAAATCAGTTCTTTTGAGGCGAGAAATGTTGAATGCAACCCTAAAAATAAATTTCCCACAAGTGAAAAAATGAAAACTTGAACTATTTGTCATATGTTTTATATGTAAAATGTAAACAAACAACAGCTGAGCTGTAAACAAAGGCACTGATGTGGTAAGTATTTAATAAAATCTTTTTTATTAGTTGAATATATAAATGATATATGAAATGTATATAAATGATTTCACATATCAATTATATATTTAATTTTTTTGTGTGAAATATTATTAAGTGAAGTTTATAAAAGTGCTATCAGCTGCAAAAATGAGCTGATGATAATGTGAACGTTTCCATATTAATATAAATGAGCAAATGTCTAAATGAGACAGTGTGAATATACTATAAATGTAAAATAGAAAATATCAAAAATTAAAAATAAAACTTTGCATGAAAGCTTTTTGTGAATTCATCTATTCATCCTATCAATGAAATTAATTGACTGCGCCTTGTCAGGCTCATAGAAATATTTATTACCAGTAAGCATATATATATGTATATTTAAATTAGGTTTTATGTAAAAATATTTATTTTCAAATATTAATTGCTGTTATTGTATTTTCCGCAAGAAAACTAGTTACACAATTACTGTTACGAAGAAATAAAGGATACTAGAATTGGCTACTTTTAAAATATTTAATAGGAAAATTTAATAAGTAATACAAATTATAAATAATTTTGAAGATAAACGACCTTTAAATAGTGCCGAAACCCTATAGTACCGAAACTATAACTTATAAAGCTTATGGTAGGAAAGATTAATTGTATGATACGACTAGGAGGTGTAAGATTAACACTTCTAGAACCAATTGGCAACAGAAGTTATAATTAATTAATAACTAAAAACGCGCTATTGCTACGGCATGATTAGCAAACTTAGATTTAGGTAGTCATGCTATGATAAGGACGGACAGACTGGCTTAATAGCATGCATCAGTGCGTCATTATATGATATACCTTATGTGATGTTATAGGCAAATGTTATTTTACAGCTCAATTAGTTCCGAACTGCTTAAAATTTCCATTTTAAGTAACACAAAAAAATTTTTAACGTATAACATTTCGATTCATCAATTTATTAAAGTTCAAATAATAAATTTAAAATAATTAATATTATCAGTTTTATTTGTAGCTTTTTTCACATTAATCATACATTTGTAACTGTAATCAAAAAAATTTGCAACATATTATTTTTTATCACAAATTGAAATTTCCTCTACTATTGAAATAAACCTCACTTTTTGAAAAATTAATATATTTTAATTACAATTGAATTAAATAACTTAAGTATAAAAATTCATTTTAAAATAATACTAAGCTTAAATAATACTTTAAAGATTAAATTATTAACTTAATTATAAAAGTTTTATCAACATTGACGATTTTTTTATAATTATCTCTACAATTTGTAAAATATATTAGTAATTTTAAAAATTAACCTAAAAATTGAACCTATTTTTATTTCAAATCGCTTCCATGCACAAGCTTTAGTGGTTTATTACATATAGAAGTAAATGAAAAATTTATATATCAAAAGTAACGTCATCACCAAAACCGTTAGCACCAGAACAGCGAACTATCGTTTTACATCTATGTCGAATAAAAAAAAATATTTAACTAAAAATTAAATCTAAATCTATATCTTCCTTTTAAGTATCGTGTGTTATACACTTATACACAACCAGTTTTTTTGTTGGGTTGATTTCAACTGAATTTAAAGAGTCAAGCAAAAGCTAGCCAAGCCAACTTTGATGAGATTTGCATTCTTAAGATAAGTGTGGCGGTGTTTGTCGTATCTAAATTAATTCCTATAAGAGGAACCATAAGCGCAACATTGTTCATGAAGTAAACAATGAATGCTGTGTGCAGCTTGACTGTAGTGATCATAGCTGAATCTGCATAAACAGTAAGTTAGTTTCAGTGCACTTGAAAGGGTGTAAACAGGAAGCGTTACTTTGTGTGTAGGATAAATTCCTAAAAAAAAACTGTAATCTATCGATATGTTTGATGATTTCATCTCAAACCAAATAATTAATTAACAATATAAACTTTTGTTATTTCAATTTGACTTGTGTACTTTAGAGTAATCATCGCCTATTATAGAAATAGCCTCTTGTGCACTTGGCTTGTCAACATCGATAAAACGACAATTTTATATAATGTGATTCTAGTTTTTCACTAACATTAAATAATATATTCTTTAAGATAAGATTCGATAACAATGGCAGTATGTGTTGTTAGACCGGCCTTAGGATTCACTCTAATATCTGTATATATCCTCAAACCAATTATATAATGGGATGATTATCAGTTGGAATGAATTTTCTTGAAATTGAGCCATATTTTTTTAATTGATTACATCCTGTAATTATATACGTTAATTTATTTAAATAATACAATAGATTGGGTAAGAAAAATATTAAGCCTTATTAATATATTAATTTTATGCTTTTAATGTTTTTATTTTATTTATTTATTATTATAACGAATTGTTTACCTGTAATGATGCGTTTATCTGTATCAGACAATTGTTTGGTGTCTGGTCCTTAGCTTCCAATAATAAAGAAACTTGTTTATTCATTTTATCAGAGCTCATTGCCAGTGCTTGTAGACCGCGTTTCGGGATTTTGAAATAACTCCACTTGAGCATGCATTGGTACCAAAAGTAAATGTAAATATAGTACAACTATTTATTTTCTAAATCAATAGATGTTGTTTAAATTGCTTTCCAAATATTGCTTTCATTCTTGAATACATCTAATTACGTGAAGCAATAATTTTATGTGCAAAGCAAACAGACGATTAAGAGTTACGCAACGTGATTAATAGTAAAAGCGTATATGCGATTTTAAGCGTTTATTATCCCAGCAAATACCTTTATTAAGTTCAATATGCCAAGGCATCCAAACGAAAAACATCAACGAGATCAGCAATATTTTCAACATTTAAATCAGGATGCTGTTGTTGAATAGTCGGATGAAGATCCTCTAAGTCCACTACATGATGCTTCGGCAAAAATTTTTATCTATCTTGCACATCCTCAATAAGAAATTGAGCTCACAAATCTTTAAATAGTGCTTGTTGACTGACCTAAAAATTATAGTAGAATATGCTAATTCGATATGCTGGCAAGAAAATGTAATATTTTTCAAGAGCCTTGTAGCCTGACCATATAATATATGCTTTATAAAAAGTTAATTGCAAAATATATCTTAAGACAAATACCTGTTGGTTCGCTGTTGTTTTCAAAATAAACCGAATAAACAATTGAGAAACATTAATTTTATCAAGACTTGCTAAAATTATTCGTATTTTATTTAAAACTTCATTTAAACTGTTTTAATAAAATTCCAATTCAAAATGAATTTATAGAACAACTTTATTTTTAAAGCGAGCGCCAGGAACAATACAAAATATAAAAAACTTTCGCTTCGTATGAAGTCGTAAGAATTGCCAACATTAAGAATTTAGTTCATTTGACAGCTTAAAACACATCTTAAAAATCCTAAAACAGGGTACATTTCATTTTGTCTCCTTAAAAGTAGTAGTTACATTTTACATTAGTGCAATTTATAAATTCATATAATTATTTGTGTATTAATCTTAGCAATAAGTTTCATATATATTAAAGCAGTAAATACTAATATAAAAAAATCAATTGCTAACAAATAAATAATATTTTCTATATAACTTTAACCAGTTGTACATTTCGATTTCAGAAAATTATATATACATAGTGTTCAATATTGTATAATATTATGTATTCATCAAAAACAAGTTAATAATATTTGTATAAAAATAACACAGAAACTTATCCATAAAACTTAAGATGAATAAAAGAATAATAAATAAATGGTGAGTATCATCATTCATTCAAATTTTTGGCAAGAATTTGTAAATAAGGCTCAATAATTGTAAATGCGAACACAAGAAAAAACAAAAACTCAAATGCCTTTCCATAAAAAAAAAATACTGAATTGCTTAAATTTAATAACGTCGAGAGCTAATTCAACTTGACGATAGCTTGTAGCTATCGTTGCTGCAAATTATATCTCCAAAAAAAGGAAAACGTAAGTAAATAATTTTATTTCACTTTAATAATTAAATGATATCAATTGTTTTAATGAATTAAAATTCCACTTTCTTTTAGCAAATAAATTAAAATTCAACGGATTTTGCTCACTTTTGACGAATACTTTGAGTAACTAATTGTCAAAAGTGAGAACAAAGTGAGAAAGTGACATAAACGAGCCGCATATCTACCAATCGAAATCAGCATAAAATTTAATAGTGTAATATTGGTAACGACCTCAACGTATAAGTTCTTATTCACATTTTCGTTTAGAAAATAATCGGTATTTCACCATTTGTAAAGTTGCAAAAGCGTTTCAGTTCATGTTGAATATGGATTAAATTTGAAACCACTTCGAATGAAATTTTAAATTAATCGTTAAGAAATCTGACAAAGCATTGCGTTATATTGGATTCACTTGAGAATTTCGTTTGTAATTATAGCTGTCAATTGTTGTTGCTATTAAAGCAAAATGAAAATTTTTGACAGCTAAAATTACAAACAAAACTCTCGTGTGAATCCAGCATTATAATAAGGAAGTCATACTTAGAATATGGTGAAGTTCAACATTTGGAATATTTTCAACGTACTTAAGGTGTGCTTTGCTTTTCAACTTTTATAAAACAAAAATATTAGCACAGCAACAACAGAATTACATCAAAAATATTCATATAGCCAGCAACAGCCATTTTAATGTTTTTATGAAAATAGATAAATTAAAGATAATCTCTATTTATATATGCTTGAAGCAATTACATTTAAATATGTTAGCTTTGTATAAACACACATATTTTATTTTTCTTTTATTTAACTTTTCTGTTTCATTTCGGGTTTTCATTTTAACAGTTCTTGTTTTTGTTATTGTTTTATTTGTTTACGTTTTGAGTCTGTTTCTATACGTTTATTTATTATTACAACGAAAACCAATATTTTTATATTTCCCACTATTAAAATAAATAAACTTGTGGATTAAACCTGCTTTAATTTTTCTTTTTTATTTTTACCTACTTACCTACTTTATTTGCTAATGTATATTCACCGACTGATAATTGCAAAAAATTTTAGTATAAGATTAAAACACTATGAAATTTTAACATTTTTATTATATTCATATAATATAACGATGCCGTGAATTTCGGAACATTTTATTCTTCGTTTTAAACTTTTAAATATTAATAATATTCTTAAAGAGCACCCTAAAAACAGACATTACTGTAATCGATAATTATCGGAATCAACTGCTGGCCTTGCAATTGTAAACAAATGAGACACTTGGAATTTACGTGTGATACATTGTTTATTATTTATTTATTTTATAACAGTTTTTTTAAGTACAGAATAGTTGAAAAATGCATAACGCTGACTGGATGACGAAGTTGCCACCACATCTACGAGCGATGTCAATTGTTTATTTAGCAATACCAGGTACTCGATCTTGAGGAGAGTATATAATATACATTGCATAAAGCTGAGGTCATACTTATTCATATTAACATTAATTAAGAATATTTGCAGGCTCACACAATTCAATGACATACGGCATATCAAATCACTCTAAGATCGCTGGTGATGCCACTAAAGTAATGCGTTATTTATATCATGTATTTCCATGGTTTGTACGTCGTTGGGCGAAAACACAGGCAGCAACAGTCGTTGAGCAACTAAGGTTAGGTGTTCGTTATTTCGATTTACGTGTTTGCTTGAAAGACGATGACTTTTACTATACACATGCAGTTATTTCAATGGATGTAACTAAACCGCTTTATTATATACGAGAGTTTCTTAGTAAACAGCCAGGAGAAACTGTTATACTAGATTTCCAACACTTTTATGATATGAATGCTGTTGACCACATGAGACTCCAAAAAATGTTGATACAAGTTTTTGGAGATATGCTGTATAAGCCCTCAGACGGACCACTACTTAAATGTACACTGAATTATTGCACAAAGTTCCGTAAACAAGTGATTATTGTTTACAGATATAATTCGAATGCATTACATAAAGATTTTTGGCCTAGCAAAAGCGTTTATACGCCATGGCCAAATGTGTGTTCTATAAAACTTCTCAAAGAGTTTCTTCAGCACAGCCTAATGTCACGTCCACCAACAGATGGCTACGTAACACAAGTCGTATTAACACCAGATGCCAAATATATTAGCTTACGATTTTATTCACGATTAAAGACCACAGCAAAAAGAGTTGATAGGAAAATGATTCCTTGGATTAGTGAACAGATTCCCGGACCTTATACATGTCGTATTCCAAAAGTCAATATATTAATTGGAGATTTCATTGAATTAAATTCTGCAGCTTTCTGCAATACAATCATACAATTAAATGAAAAAATACAAATTGATTTTACGACGCAAGTTGAATGTCCAGAAATACGTACAGGCAGAATTGACCATTTGGACGATTCAATTTATTATGATGACTTTAAAGAAGGTTAAATCTAGCTCAGTGTAAAATCAATTTGATGAAGAGTGAATAAACCGTTGAAAAATGGTGGCTTTTATCATTACTAACACAGCTTCAATGAAACACGTACCTGCAATATTAAGGCAAATTATTACACACTTTTATATAAGAGTTATACTATTTTTATATATGCGTTTATTATGCATTTTTATGATATATAATCAGCCGATGTTATATATTAAGTTTTTAGCAGAACTTTTTTTTAAAAATGGTTATAATGATCATTGCATGATTATTGATCATTTATAACCGAAAATTTAACATACTAATTAAGGTTACGTATTGTATAATAGTATGAAGAATAATGGGTATAATATGTATAATATTATTGTATAATGATATAAATGGTTAAAGCTTAAATTTTTATATTTATTACTAATTGTACAATAGTATGTAGAATAATTGATGTATAATATTATTGTATAATGATATAAATGGTTATAAGCTATATATTTATAAACAAGCATTTAATTTTTCAGTTTGTTGAAGTACCTTTGCTTAACTAAGATACCAATAAAGTTACGTCGACTGATTGAATAGGATGAATATGTTTGTAATATAACGACGTATGTATATACCTTCGTAAACATATTTGTTCAAAAAAATTGCCATCTCTCAAAGCCAAGTTAACTCCCAAAGTCAAGTTAACTCTCAAAGCCATGTTAACTCTCAAAAAAAGTCCAGCAACTTGATATTAAAAACAAGTGTAAAGTTTGCTTGTTGGGTCTATTATTAAAACCAGGATTTTCGCAAATATTCAGATGTCTACATTGAAATTAATTAACCATAAAACAGATGTAAAGCCCTGATTATAAAAAAAAAACAAAGTATAGAATTTTTTTTTGATTAAAATAATGAAAAGAGGTATGGAAAATATAGGACAAGAAACGGGAGGTAATATTTAATAAAAGTGTGATATCTGCAGATGTTCTGTAAGAGTTTCACTATAACGTAAACCAGAGCGGGTTTGCAGTTCCTTCGGTTAGACGCTATAACATCCTTGGTGTACTTTTCTTCGTATATGTGTCTACACATGATTCTAGCTGTTCTACAGGTGGTTAAGTTTCGCCACCTTACCTTTGCTCTCCTTGTCATGTGCTCGTCCAGAAGATTATGTATTTGTTTCAGAGATACTTCGCCCGTTTGTTCCTCTGAAAGTTATGCGCAATTTTTAGCAATAGTATCAACTGTCTCATTTCCCTCTATGCCTTTATGACCAGAAATCCAGTACATACAAAATTTGCGATTGCAGGCTAGTCTCTCGGGGTTACAACACATCAAAAATTTAAATTGTTTAAAATTTTGCATGCATAGTATTGTGTTTCGACGGGCGAAATTACTTTATAATATTTTTTAATTTAAAACAGTTCTTTTGAACTATAGATAAATATTTGATTATCAAAGAAATTAAATGTAATTATATAAAAATATTTCAAATTTTATTATTAATATTTTATTAAAAATTTTAATAGAATTAACGTAAAAACGAAATTCAAGAATTCCATTAAATTATATAAATGAAATTGTTTTTAAATTTATTATATATAAAATATACTGGTAAAAGTTAATTGAAAAAGAAAGTATTATAAATTATATATACATACATATATATATATATATATATATATATATATATATATATATATATATATATATATATATAGTCATCATGATGCAAAAACAAAAATATAGCAAAATATAAAACAAAAGTACTACATTATATAAAACTAACTTAATCTATCAGGAATCGTACGGATTTAGGAGTTTTCGATGGTGAAACATCACTGCCAGTGTCGGTAAATATTTCCTGCTCCAAATAAGAGCGCATGCCTTGCAATATATTATCGAGACGTTCCACAGATTCACGTACCATTTTTTCCGAATCATTATTTTTACTGTTCTTGCATGGGTGTTTATTTTCCTGTTGTTGTTGTTTTTCGCAAAGTTTCTTTAACCGTAATGCAGAACGTTGCATATCACGTACATAACCTACTGCAATTGTATCAAAATTCTCAAACATATTTTGTTTGGGACTGTTATTACTAGAAGCTGAAAGATTATTCACAGAGTTCATAGTTTCAGATAAACTTTCATCTTCATATGTTAACATTTTTTTGGTATGCATTTGATGTTTCAGTAAATTAAGCATTGCTGATTTGTGTAAATGTGATTCGTGATTATATTTAGAAGTTCTATATGTATCTTTGCCGCTTGACGTTGAACTGGCACCAGGAGTGGAAGTATTCAATTTTGCAGTTAACATGGATAAAGGTGACATAGGTTTAAAATTGGCATCTTTGACAATACTTAAATTTAATGAAATACGACTAGAGTTAAGCGATTCATTGAGTGTATCATTCAGCTCTTCATTTGGAAGATCTTCCCATTCAATTGCCACGCCTTTAAACGCATTTTTGATACTTATATTATCGGAATTTCTTAATTTTTCTAGCCAATAAGCAAGGCGGGCTGTTGGCCACTCTGCTTTACGTTCATTTCCTTTATCGATAATAGACACAACTGTGTGAAATACACCATTTTTATCCAGTACTTGAGTGTGCCGAAATTTTATATCCATTCGCAGACTTCGACAACGTTCTGTCGCCTCTCTTACCTGGATGCGATTTAAAAGAAATTAATGAAAAATAAAACTTAAGTGAAATAATATATGATAATATAATAATATTAAAAATATTTATAACTTTGACCTCAGTTAAATTATTATACAAATATATATTAAATAAGTATTATTCTTTAAATCTAATTAATATTATTGTTTTACAGATAAAGCTACACTAGCCATTTTAAGGAGTGCGAAATGATCATTAATATTTTGCGGCAAATATAATAATGTAAAAAGGGCAAATATAATAATATAATAACTAATATTAAACAGTTTAACAGTATTTTATGGATAGTGTCCAAAATTTATGGACTCAAAATGGACTATTTAAAGAAGCGTGTGAAGAAAGTGACAAGAACAAAACAAGTAAAGATGTTAGTTATGGCTTAGTCGAAGCTTTAGACACTCTACAGAAATTTTAATTTATATCTACACGTAATATATATATATAATATAATATATATATATATATATATATGATATATATAAATATATGATATATATAAAATTATATATATAATTAAGTTTTATTCCATCTCGTTGCGACAACTTGCTTCAGTTTTAATAGTCTCTTCGATTGTTCTTAATTTGAAGTACATATAGGTATATCAAAAAAGTAAAAAGTTTTTCTAACAAAAACCTGTATCTGAATCGATATAAATAAAATTTTGTATATTCTCAAAAAAATAGAAGAAAATTCTATACTAAATTTGATTTGAATATCTTTATTAAAAATGGAGAGAACTCATATCATATTGTTCAGTTTATAAATGGCAACTATAGGATATAATGGTCCGAATTTGACCAATCCGACAAATGATCAGAGTCGGAATTATGTGTGCAAAAATTCATTCATATAGCTTAAGAACCGAGAGAGTAGTTTGGAATGAAACAGACCAACATTATACGGACTGAGCTAAATAAATCTAGCTCGACGAGTTGATTAAGACTATATATAATTTGTGTAGTCTAGGATGTTTCCTTAAATGCGTTATAAAAATCGTAGTAAGCCAAATATACATTTTGCAACAAGTTATGAGTCAGATAGAATACTTTCTATTCTTGTATAATCATGATTTTGGTCAAACTCAAAAATTTTAATACAGTTTTAAAATATAACTTCTAGTCTTTCACATAGAGTCCACATAGAAGGTATAAATACCTATTAAAATAAGAATCTACTGATATAGCTTAGAATGCTAAAACACATGTATTAGATAATTGCTTTGGAAAATTGCTGATATAAATTTTTTTATAAACTATAAGTCTTTAAAAAAATTTGTAAAAAAAAAAAAGCAAAGAATGAGTCATTCCTCCTAGACTATTAGTAATTTCGTCCCTATCAATTATATGAAGATCTGGAACATAAAAATAATTGAGTTGCGAAGTCCAAAATATTGCAGTGGAAGACTGATCAACTCTTCATCAGTTAAAAATTAAGAGGTTTCTAAGCTAACAATTTAATAGGCGCTTGAAAAAAAGATTAAAATTAACATGCCACGGTTGTTTTCCTTTATGAAAGAATAAATGGCGGACACTGGTGGACACAGATTTCATTTTAAAGGAGTGCAGTTAACTAAATGGAATTACTTTAGGGTTATATATACTTTAGATTGTCTTAATTCTAATTATTAAGAACAGATAGTATGAAAAATTGTGGAAGGAATACTTACTAGCATTATAACTAGAAAGTATTTTTTGTATAATCCATTATTAGGTAAATTTATAATTGCACTATATAATTTTTTTTTCAAACACTTACCATTAATTGGATTTTATGTAAACTCTCTTCACTTGGAGTTTGCATAATAGAATTAATGTTCTCTAAAAGGTTCGATTTGAAAGTAGGTGTGTAAGTCATTAAATCTGACAGTTCAGCACGTTGTTCTTCTTCAAAAACTTTACGTTCAGTTTCCAAAATATCGCGATTGCATTTATAACGATATTGTTCGAACTCCAACTCCTGCATACGCTCCTTATAATTGCGCTCGTTTTCTACACGTTCGCTTTCAATGCGTGAAAGAGCTGCACGTTTCTCTTCTTCCAATTCGCGTCGAAGCTTTTCTTCCTGCGTATGCAAAATTTCTTGCTGTGCCAATTGATAATCCACAATGGGCTATAACAGTATTGGACAAAGATTTAGAATTGTATATAATAAAAAATAAACTCAAACTCACCGCGTTATTTTTTCGATTTGGACAAAATAGATTCGATACTCGAAAGTAATGTGTACCGCCAATAACCAAGCGATCTCCATGAAACATCTGCATGCGTTCCTGTACCAACTCCCCATTTAAATAAGTTTCAAAGTCATTATTTTCCGGTATAACAAAGAGTTTGTTATTATCATTTTCAATTATGCTATGTTAAATGTAAAAAAAATTTAACATTTAATATTTATAAGAAAATTATTAATAATTATATAAAATTTACCAATGGTGATAACCAACTAGTGGTCCATCGAGCACAATGTCAGGTTGTGTGCAATATAGTGAGGTACGTGTGCGACCTATTTTAACTTTACCGGGAGGTAGTAAGTAAAATAAAGTACCACTCAATATGGGATCAGCAATTAAATTCACTAAACATGTTTTATGTTCACCAGACAACTCCAAAGCTAAACCTCTACGCTTCAAGAGACGTAATTCGGTCTTTCTTAAATTTTCTGCTTCTTCAAGACGCTCAGCCCACGTTTTCTTTTGACGCTCAATTTCTCGTTCACGTTCTGCCAACTGTTGACGCAAAGCTTCCACTTCACTTTCGTCAACTGAAGTTTCAATAATGATTTTACGTGGTTGTGGATTACCCAATCCCGAAAAACGTTTTTTACGTTCACAATCATGTAGGCGGGCTTTTAAGACCTCTACTTCAGATAATAGTGACCGTATAGTCTTATCTTGCGCAGATTCGTTAATTTTTACACGATTTACAATAGTACGTGCCTGACAAGCATAACGTAGTGTGGCTAGTGTTTCATCAATGTGTATGCTAGCAGGTGATATAGTAGCTAACATAACAGTCTTTGAATTACCACCAAGATTTTCCTGAAATATAAAAGAAACATTTAATAATAAAAAATGATTATACAGTTTTTCTATAGTTTTTATTTTTTTCATATAGTTGTTTTCTAAATAAGTGCCAATATTCCGAAGTTTTTTGACTTAATCAGGGCGACATGATTGAATAACTTCTTAAATTCAAATATATAAAAATTTATATATTTTGAAGTTTATTGAATAATATGAAGTCGATCTATGAGTACCACGTAGTGTATTGTGAAATTTACATTATTAGATATTATCTTAAATTTCGAAAATAAGACAAGTTCGGTATTTGAAAGTAAATTCAATGAAAATAAAAAATAAGAGTTATATTTTTTTTCATTTAAAAATCTTAAGGTCTTCTCTCCAGAAAACTAAATACATATTATATGCAACAATTGCATTCACGTCTTCATCATCCATCGCAAATAATATCTGAATTTTTGGAGAACGTCAAGAATATAAAATATACATACTGCTGTCTTAAAATTGGGCATAGCACTGCGATCATATATGATGTTTTGTATTTCTAACCGACGCTAACTAAGCAGTTAAGATCGGTCCTAAACAGTTCTTTTCTAAAAATGAAAGACAGCATTTTAGCTGTTGAAGGCATCGTAAAATTAGTTGGGGATAAGATTTTCTAGCATATAAAGAAAATGTGACAACAATTCTGATTCACTTCCAACCAGAACCGACAGGGAACGAAATCTTCAGACAGATTCTTTTTATTGAAACGATAGATATTGTTAGATCTAACAATTAACCTACCAACAACTTTAGCTCTATTCTACTGAGAAGGGATTCGCTATCACAGTTATCCAAAAGAAACAGCAGTTTAGTCTGGCACGGAATATTATTAAGACTTCCGTGCACATTAATAACAGTGTGTAGCCTAGTCGCATTTAAAGCTGCAGTGAAAAAATGTATAGAAGAAGATCCATCATGGATTTCAGCGTTCGTGTGGGATAGGTACTTATAGTACGTGTCATAACCATTAATATAAGTCTTTACAAATTTTAATGAAAACTCTGTTTTTGATACTTAATTAAATGAATACCGGCGATTTTAGTTAGGTGGTACTTGAAATTTGGCTTCAATGAAGGATTACATAAAGTTTCATTATATATATAAGCGTTGATCAGTTTTTAATACAAATCTTTAATGATACATATTAATAATAAATTATATCATATATGTATATATATATGATATTTTAATCTGTTCTGCAAAACAGTACATATTGCTATATTAGGCTGATAAACATACTCAATAAATAAAAACAGTTGTGAAAATAGCAAAAACAGATCAAAACCGTCTTTAAGTTCCATAGTTATATAGATAACAAAATAATGATAAAGATTAGCATGCAATGATCTGTTGTGCACAGTACCGTACCTAGTGAAGAAATAATATCTAACAAGAAATGTTATACAAATAATTTAAGTAGTTTACGTTAAGTCAACTTAACTCACGACATACGCTATAACATAAGTGTATTGCAAGGGCCATCTTCTTTGCATTGTTTGAGGACCGTGACAATTTACTTATCAATTGAAGAAATACGAAAACACCAGACAGTGAGACTTTATTAGCAGACCACTGTATAATTCGGACATGGTGGACTAAAAAGCCAATAATTGAAGGTTTTATTCGAACGATATTTATAAATATGCAACAAAATCTTTATATAAAGTAAACTGTCATATACCGATATCTCTCTTAACAGTGCAGTGCTTCGAAAAAGTGCTTTTGCAAACACAATTAATTACCAAATATCGTGTTCTCTAATGATGCAAGTTCCGCAATTAAAGAATTCATAAAGAAATAGAATAAGTTTACTTAACAGAGAAACTATATGAAGTTTATAACATTTGAATGAGACAAGAAGTCAAGCACAACTGATTATATTGGTTTAGCAAATCGTAGTAGGCAAAGTTTGAATTCCGTTGTTGATTTTGGGCTGTAATTCAAGGGTAATGCGAATGTTTATTGCTGTCAAAACGATGGGCAATCAATCAGTTTACAGCATGAGCACACCCTAAGTTACAATGACAGAGAGCCTATGTTCCAAATTTTATTCAGGTCGCACAGTAGTCACGAAATACAAACCTGCTTTAATTTTAAGCATGAAATATAGGACATTTTGTATACCAAGATAAGCACTAAATAATAACAAAGTATTGATATACTTAAGATAGCCTCTCTGCGTGTATGAATAAAGATTCCGCCGATTCATATTCATGCACGGTCTGACTCGTTTGTCAGCCATCGACCGACTCAGAGTCGTGCTTTGCGCTACAGATTGCCATATCGAAAACTTCAAATTAGATCGGAAAATTAAATTATTTTCCAATATTTTTCATCCTGGTTCAATAAAATTTGATTTCAAATAAAAAAAAATTAACGTTCTGTATATAAAGTAGGACGTTTACCTTATCCAACACATTTACGTTTTGCAGATTTTTTTAAAGAAACTTTTGTAAATTTGTTTAGCAATACGTAATGTAGGTACAGTTTTGTAGTCCGTATCACGAGAAATAGACATTTTTTTCAAGGTCTAAGCAAACCAATTTCAAATTCCATGCTAACCAATTTTTATATTTTAATCTGTGAACGATATGCGATAGTTTACAACTATTTACTAATTAAAAAAAT